CGTGTTAAAATCATTTATAGATTTTCAAGATGTGCATGATCATATGAACTTAATTTATCATTTATCAAAACAATATTGAATCTTGTTCCCTTATAGTAATCAAATTGACCCCTGTACACTGTTGACCACTTACCCAACCCTAAACCAACCCATACACCAAACCTGAGCCTAACCTTACCCGTATCCCACCTCAATAGCAGCAAGTATTGTGCATTAACAAAAGCTTTTAATCGTTGTATAACATGTGTTAAAATCATTTATAGATTTTCAAGATGTACATGATCATATGAATTAGAAGTTTAATGACATTAGTAAGCATTTTAATTTACATGAAATGTTAATTATTAGGTAATGTTATTATTATTGGGTAACATTAACAAGCACATTATTACACATTTCTAGATATGTGAATATATATTAACTAATGATCTGTTAAACATTACATAATGTTTGTTAATAATTTATTAATGAAAGTTATTATAAAGTGTTACCCATTTTTCTAAATGCAATGTGATTTTAGCTGTGCAGAACACACTGCTACCATCTTGGGGTGTTATGGATGTTGCCAGGGTGATGCTACGTGATGCTAAAGTGTTCTGAGTAGTTGCTAGGTGTGTATTGCATAAAAAGAGTCCACTGTAATATTTTGGTTTTTAGATGTGGCCCTTTTCAATTCTACACATTTACATTTTCTGAATACAATGGGATTTTTAGCAGTTCAAAACTGACCGCTACCATGCGGGGGTGTTATGGATGGTTGCTAGGGTGTTGCTATGCGGTTGCTAGGTGTGTAACAAGTGAAAAAAGTCTATTGTGATATTTCGGTCTCTAGATATGGCCTCATTAAATTCTATACGCCATTTTTCTGAATAAAATGTAATGTTTTTTTGGCTGTGCAAAACTCACCGCCAACATCCTGGGGTGTTATGGATGGTTGCCAGGGTGTTGCTATGTAGTTGCTAAGGTGTTCTGAGTGGTTGCTAGGTTTGTGTTTTGTGACATGTGACATTTTGGTTTGTAGATACGGCCTTATTCAGTTCTACATGTTAATATTTTCAGAATACGTGATTTTTAGCCATTCAAAACTCACCACCACCATGCCAGGGTGTTGCTATGTGGTTGCTAAGATGTTCTGAATGGTTGCTAGGTGTGTAGTGTGTGAAAAGGGTCCACTGTGATATTTTGGGCACTAGATATGGCCTTATTTGATTCTAGATACTTACAATTTCTGAGTACATATTTTTAGCCTCACAAAACTCACCGCCACCATGCTGGGGTGTTATCGATGGTTGCTAGGGTGTTGCTATGTTGTTGGTAAGTGTATATGGACTCAAAAGAGTCCATTGTGATATTTTGGTCTCTACATGTTTACATTTTCCGAATAGAATGTGATTTTTAGCCATGCAAAACTCAACACCACCATGCTATGATGTTATAGATGGTTGCCAGGGTGTTGCTACGTGTTTACTAGTTTTGTGTCACGTGAAAATGGTCCCATGTGACATTTTGGTTTCTAGATCTGGTCTTATTCAAATCTATGCGTTTACATTTTCCGAATACAATGTGATTTTTAGCCATTCAGAACTCATCGCCACCATTCTAGTGTGTTGCTATGTGGTTGCTAGGTGTGTATCACATGAAAAGTGTCCACTGTGACACTTTGGTCTCTAGATATGGCATTATTTGATATTACACATTTACATTTCCTGAATACGTGATTTTTAGCCATGCAAAACTCACTGATACCATGCTGGGCTGTTATGGGTGATTGCTAAGGTGTTGCTAGGTATTTATTGCCTATAGGCAATATCTAGTCTCTAGATATTGCCTTATTCCATTCTATATGTTTACAGTTTCTGAATAAAAGGATTTTTGCTTGTGCAAAAATCACTGACCATGTAAGGGTGTTATGAATGGTTGTCAAGGTGTTGCTATGTGGTTTCTAAGAGTGTATCACCTGAAAAGAGTTCAATGTGATATTTTGCTTTCTAAATTTGGCCTTATTCATCATGGACAGTTGCTCTAGATATGCCCTAATTTAATTCTACATTTTTACTTTTTTTTTGTTTTTTTTAAATAAAACGTGTGTAATGCCGTGAATGGTTGCCAGGGTGTTGCTAGGCGGTTGCTTGGTGTTTATCACCTGAAATAAGTCCACTATGATATTTTAGTCTCTAGATATGGCCTTATTCAATTCTACGTGATTACATTTTCTGAACAGAACATGATTTTTACCCATGCAGAACTAAGACACTATGCTTGGTGTTGTAAATGGTTGCCAAGGTGTTGCTATTTGGTTTACTGCCTGCAAACAGTCCTCTGTGATATTTTGGTTTATAAATATGGCCTTATTCAATTCTACAAGTTTCATTTCTTGAACAATGCCTGAGCGATGTTTAGCCTTGCAAAACTCACTGCCACCATGCTGGGGTGTTATTGATGGTTGCCAGGGTGTTGCTAAGGTGTTTGGAGTGGATTCTAGGTGTGCATCGCCTGAAATGAGTCCAGTGATATTCTGGTCTCTAGATATGACCTTACATAACATGCATCTGTGGGATTTTCAACTGTTTTATCGCCAAGCAGAAGAAATCGTACTTAATAAAACAGCTCACCTTGATTCCCAACACTTATAGTCAAAATAAACAAGAGGCCAGTGATTCTTTCATTACGAACGTCATTGTATTTTGCATACATGTTATTGTTCTAATTAATGATGAAACACGATCATTAATTCAAACAATAACAGCTTGTGTTTTGTACATAATATTTCTTCAACATACTATAGTATATATATTTTGTCTAGAAACAGTCTGTTGACATGTAAAGGTCCTAAAATAAACTTTAGTTACTTTTGTGTACAGAGAATCGTCCTCCCTGTCGGACAGCATGTCCCGCTGTCTTCATTGTTTGGCGGTTTGGCAATGCAGAGGAAATGAAGTCAAACACATCCTGTTCTCTCTCTGAGTCTCAGATGTTTTGTGCTTTGGCTGCGTGCAAGAAAAGAGTGAAACGGTCCAAAGAAAAGAAAAGAAATTCAAGCTACAAATGTCTTTTCAGTCCAGTTCGAGGCGCTCAAGCCCAACTTCAGCTTCCGGTTCAAGATGCCTCCGATTAAAGGTCTTATGGTGGATGGAGTCAGAAAGAGCAGAGACTTAAATGCCATCAATTCCTGTAAAAGCAAGGTCTTCAAGCATCTCACATAATTATACTCTTCTGTGTTTGATTCGTATCTTATAATAAACCTACCAGATGTCAAGTTAAACTTGTGCAGATGTGAGTTATAATCAGGCTCAGACAAAATCTGCATCACAGTTTTTAAAGTCAACTTATGCTTGATTTTATCTATCACAAATTGATGGGATGGTGAACAACAGAGGCAGGTGGTTGAAGGAGAGGACTTGTTTGCAGTGAATATATCTTGCATTAAGTTTCATTTTCTTTCCCAGTTGCCTTTTGTTTTTTCTTGTTTTAAGCATAAACCTCACTAAATGAAGTTGGATTTGTTTTGCTTGAAACAGGATAAAACTGCTTTCCAATGGGGGAAGGAAAATAAACTTAATTCAAGATCTCTGAAAACAAGTTCTAATATCTTATGAAAATGTATTTAAATGTTTTTATTAAAAACGAAATAAGAGCACTGATTAAAAATGAATTAATTCCAGTATAAAAAGGGAAAGTAGTTTCAAAGGTTGTTTCAAGTTATTCCAGTTTGATGAAAGATACAAAGCCAGTTTTGTTGCTTCTCTAGAATAACGTGCAACAGTGAATCATTCACTATAAAAAATAAATGGGGTCAATTCTGATTTCATGTTGACTTCCAAAAAACACATTCTGTCCAGGCCTGATAATAATTGACCCCTCGCCAGTCCTACCTTGGCAACTGTTGCCGTGTACCATATTATCAGACAAGCTCTTGCTCCTTTCTAATGTAAGTCTATAGAGGATCTGTGTGTCTGAATAATTTTAAATGCATTTTTCAAATCTTTAAATAAACCTTGTGTAATAAATTAAACTGTCGCCCTCGTTCCCAAATTAACATGTAAGATGTCAGCCAGAATTGCCAAAAATAACTTAAGTTTTTAATTAGTATTTTTGACTTGTTTAAAAGTCACATCTAAAAATATCTAAAATCCTGTACAAGATAAATCTACTTGAGAAGCAACGCTGCATAAGGTATTGCATAAGACATGGTTTTCATAGATTCTATCTTTAATATATGAGTATTCTGTCTTACTGCACTGGCAGATTTTTCCATTTGTTTTTAACTTGTTTATACTTAAAAGAAGTGAAAAAATAGGCAGTGCATTAAGACAAAATACCCTCGTATTAAAGATGCAACCTCTAAAAACAAGTGCTAATAACTTATGCAGTGTTGCTTTAGTAAATTTATTTGGTTTCAAAGATTTTTTTATATTTTAACTGGAAAACAAAATGTATTTATTAAATAAATAAATACATAATTTATTTATTAGTATTTTTTCTTGTTTTCTAGTACAAACATCTAAACATTCTTAAGATTTGCATTAGATTTAAAATGGCATAAAATTGTGTTACGAAAAAAAAAAAGAAAAAAGTTTTTGATTGAAACAAGAAAGAATATCTGCCAGTGAGGTTAGAAAGATAATCTTGTTTTCCCTTTTAAATAAGTTTATTTTTCTGACCCATGCACTGACAGATAATTTTTCTTGTTCTAATTTTGATACATTTCTCAGAAAACAAGACTTAAGTCATTTTCCTGGCAAAGTAAATATACCTTGAATTAAAATGTTTAGATGTTTGTACTGGAAAAAAAGGCAAAATACTTACCAAGAAATTTTTTTTTTTGCAGTGCATGTCATTTTCTGTGCATATTAATTCAGACGATATAGTATCTGTGGTAGTAACTAGCTGTGTTCACTTACACTAATGTGATCAGCTGTGATTGATTTTCTCTTTTCAGTGACAGCGAGAAGCATTTGGCAGCCTCTGTTCACAGTCTCTGCCATTTTTAATCACGTTACTGCGTAATTTATCAGTTCCGGATCCAAAACGGCAGATAAAAGATCCTCTGCAATGTCACGCTTCATTCCAGCCCACGTACGAATAACATCCAATCCATTTCACCACTTCACAATCTCATTTTACTAACAATTGCACTGAAATCTGCAGGGACGTGCTTGTCTGAGTGTGCAACAGTAACTAAGGAAGGTGGAGCTTATGGAAGCGATCATCACATGAGGTTTCAGTGCTTGTTCAACAACTTTGTCTCCCCTACATAATTAAAAAGTGCTTTCAACCGGAAATGATGAAATAGCGATACGACTGAGTGAACCATCACATGGATTACTGAAACCAGACGCTGTGATTTTACAGTATTGCTCAAAGAAAGAAGAATGAAAGTTATGCAAACATTAAAACGGTGGCAATGCGAAAACCTAGTGAATTCTGTAAACGAAGATAAAAAGGAATTGTGTAAAAAAAGTTCAATCCGAATGGCCACAGAGCATTAAGGCTAGAGCCACGACACACATCAAGGACAGTTCTGTCAGGTGCGCTATATTACACGAAGGCCTGTTTGCGCCCCGGCAGAAAAGATTAGCTTCTACATTCCGAGTGGGTGTCAGAAAGTGAGCGCGGCTTCGGTATCAGCGCTGCTAATCCTGGCCGTGTTGTGAAGGTGGGTGTCCGGTGTGCAGGAGACGGTGGAGTCGTGTTCGTCTGTGTCAGCGTCAGCCGCTCTGAATGTACTTCTTAATAACCACGCAGCCGTGTCTGAAGAGCGGGCAGGGCATGCTCTGCTGCAGCGTCCACACGTTCGCACAGGGGTCAAAGGCCTCCATGGTTCCCAGCGCCGGACCCTCGCTGCTCACGATGCCGCCGGTCACGTAGATCTTCCCGTCCAGGACCACGGCACTGGAAAAGACATTATTTCAGAACTGGTTTAATTTCTTTTTTCTTAAATATTGATTTTCACTTTCTGATAAATAAGAACATACACCAGAACCACCTAGAACATAAAAATAAAATAAAAAATAAAACTGATTTAAAAATAAACAAACAAATAAATAATAATAATAATAATAATAAAACAAAGATAAATTAATAAAACAATTACAAATGAAAATGATAATAATTAATTCAAACAAATAAGAATGATAAAATAATTTAAAAATATAATAAATATATTTTTTTTATATCCAAAATATCCAATATAAAAATATAAAATAATTTAATAATATAAAAACATATAATAATATATTATAATATAATATAAAAAACAATAACAACAAATCAGACAACCCTGAACCTAACAATACACATACAGTGGCACAGTATACCAGGGTTATTATAGTTATTATAGAGATAAGATAAAATAAGATAACAATAATAAATCAGCCTATCAATACATATACAGTGGCAAATCCATAAAAATAAATAAACATGAACTGAAATTAAATTAAATAATATAAAAAAAAAAACTAATGAATACAAAATATTACAAACAGACATATTAAATACACACCTCTTCCATCTTTATGTGACCCTCTAACTCTAGCACTCTCTATTCTAATTCTATTCTTTAAAAAAAAACTTGCCCCTTTTAGACTTGCTCTCTATTTATTTACTAACTGCTTGTTTTCTTAAAAACTTCTATTCTTTTTCTACTCTGTTTTCTTTTCATTTATTATATAATTGAGAGTTGTCATAGCACTTACATATCATTGCTCTTTTGTTGATTTTGATTGCTTCCATTGTCCTCATTTGTAAGTCGCTTTGGATAAAAGCATCTGCTAAATGACTAAATGTAAAAAAAAAAATTACAAAAATGACAAACAAAATCACTAAAACTTTAACTAAAGCGAAATAAGAAAATCTAATAAAATCTAATTAAAATATTAACAAAAACTAAAACAATTTATGGATGATAAACTGTCTATACTGGAATAGACATGTATACACTGTAAGCTAACTCAAAACTGCAAGAACATATATTTTCTAAAGCTGAGGGGTAAAAGTCTTGGCCTATCATGCTCATCTTAATGCAAAACCTTGTTCGCTGGTTCAGTTTCTGATGTGGACAGAACAGAGTACTGAAATACTCTGGCAGTGTCTAAGTTGTGAACTGGTACCAGAATCCTTCAGGGAACGAGGGTTACATACGTAACCGAGACGTTCTCTCAGATTCCCACCCCTTGTTATTTGAGAAAAAAATTCCTGGATTTCGAACTGCATATATAAGTGTAATGATAAAGATTATGTTCCTATTTGCCATTTTACATAAAGGCTCGGTATTCTAAAACTGTCAAACTGATGGATGAGATGAATGATCTACCTCCTAATCTTCTCTTTGGGCCGTATTCATTTCAAGCCCTTGACAGGTTTCAAAATGTTAATGTGGAAATTCTTGCGAGTGTGACTGTAACTGACGTGTAGTTTTGGGAAAACATATTTGTATCGCAAATACACAGCGGAAGCGTAAAAGGTGCCTGTGTGTGTTTTGGGGGGACGTGATGTACTAGTGATTGTTCGGCGGCTCGTTCGTGCTTCATCTGCTGCTGAGCTAATTACTGCCTCTGCTGCGAATACCAATCAGCAGTGAAAGCAAATCGGGCCCAAAGCACGACCCTGGGGGACACCGAATAAAGTCTTAGGAGCGAGCAGGGGAGGCTTTGTGTAAACTGGAACACATCACTTTGACAATGTGCTTTTCTCAGCTTGATCCATCTGCATTCACTTGATGATGGTTGTTAATGCTCATTTTGTTCATTAACATTACGTAATGGTAGCAGTTATGGGGCGAGAATTGCATTTTTTGGGTTATTTGAAAGCGACTGCAGCAAATTTAAATGAATATGTTGCTGAGTGAATAACGACAATAACAATAAAGTTAACTCAGTCAAAGCACTAAAACCTAAAAACAAATGCGTTTTAGACAGCTGGAGCCTGTGGTGTACTATATATCACACGATTACAAGAGGCTATAAAAACAAGCTTTAGGTACGCTTTTTGACTAAAGCCTCTAAAAGAGTCTAATCTTGACAATAAATGTTTGATCTGAATAAAATGAGAGTTGGATTCAGATAAAGTAGCCTCAAGAAGACACATGATTTGAGGTATATTTCATGTCTGTAATACAATCTAAAATGAGCAACTGCATATTTCCCAGTTTATGGGACCTTTTGAGTCGTAATTACTAAGAAATTAAGTGAAACTACATAAAAAACCCATGTTAGACCAACGGAATCCCATATATGTTAGTCAAACACAGTGGTGTGAATACAGAACTATAAAATTGAACAATATTGCTGAAATATTTAGGATTTGTGAGTTTCCAGCATGAATTGCAGCATTAATAAATGATGCAGTTACTGTTGTAGGATAATTGTTTTGCTTTTTTGTTTTGTCATTACTGTTAGTTATCTGTTGTGTTTTATATCTCATCTTTTTATGTTTGTTGATTGTCACCATTCTTAGTGTTTTGGCCTAATGATGAGGTCTACAGAATATACAGCTTTGTAAAACTAGGGGCCCTATCATACACCCGCGCAAGGTGCGGCGCAAGTGTTTTTGGGCGCAAGGCGCGGCGCGGCGCATGTGTTTTTTGCTAGTTTCAGCCCGACGCAGTTGTCATTTTCCCGTCCTGCGCCGCGGCGCCCATTTGTGTGCCCATGGGCGTGCTGGTCTAAAAAAGGGGTGTGTTCAGGCGCATTGTTGGCACGTTGCTATTTTGAGGAACTGAAAATAGACTGCGCCATAGACCAACTCAAACCTGGTCTAAAGTCTGGCGGAATATTTTTTCTTTGTTATTTAAAGAGCGCGTTAGTAATATGCGCATATAGGCGGGTGCACAATGCATGTACACTTTGCTTATTACACACACAGGGACGCGCAGCAGCACACAAACATTTTTAAAAATAAAAAATTTAGAATAGGGACAACCCGTTTAGACCATGCGCCCGGGCGCGCCGACTGTTTTCCCATCATTAAACTAACAAAAGTGGATTCGGACACGCACTGAGTGCACCTGAGCCGTGCGCTTTAGACCTTGCGCTTAGATCGTTAAAATAGGGCCCCATGTGTCAAATATCCTTGATTTGTAAACATAGCTGACCTTACATATTAAGTGTATATCGAAATCCTCCGACATTCTTCTTTACAAATCCTCGTTTTGTACTTCTAATTAGTGACTGCTGTTTTGTTTTGATCTCTCCTCTGCGTTTCCGCGTTCATCACTTCTGAGCGGCGCATGCGCAAAGCCGACCTCATACGTCATCTGCCTGGAGCTGCTTCCGTTTACAACAGTGAGCGCAAGCTAGATTATATTGATTATTACGTTTTAAATATGGTTATTTTTCTTACGCATCGAAAAACGCATCGATTCGCTACAGGAGGCCTTTGTTCACCCCCCCGGAGCCGTGTGAGACACGGGTTTTTATGGATGGGCGCTTTTTATTTCACTTCTTTTGGACTGAAGTACTGCAACACCCGCTGAGTGGCATTAAACAGCTTGAAAGATCAAAGACAATTTTTAATATAACTCCGACTGGATTCGTCTGAAAGAAGAAAGTCATATACACCTAGGATG